CCGGGTGGGGCGTCCTGCTGGGTGTCTTCGGCAGTATGTTTCAGTGAGGTAGCACTACAAAGTCGGCATCAGTTCCGCGCTATCACAAGGAGACAAACACGAACATATCGCAGCCTCCCAAAATACACACACATACACTACACGCATGCATCTTGCACACAGGTGAAGCCGTCCTTAAATGACCTTAGCTGTTAATAGGACGTTAAACAAAATCAAACAAACAAACATTACATGTTACTACTAATCCAATATTTTGTTTATATTAGGTGGATGTCGCCGATCATATTTATTTCAATGTAATATAATGCACTCATATAATGCATGATTACAGAAATTCCTTATGTATTATGAAAAAAAAGGTGTCGGTTATTTTTTTCATTTTTAAACAGGGGGATTATGTCGTAGGGTCATTTTTTTGTTTATGTGCGTTACTGTTTACAGGGCGTGTGTTAGGGGTATTTCCCTATGTCTATTTATAGCGTCCATGTGAGTCCTGTACTAGACCTTTCTCATTTTGGAGTAGACCTAGCACGGAGCGTGGAGACAGAGACATATACAAGCAATTTAAATACAGGGGTCAATTCAAAACTAATTGTATATAGATGTAGCGTATAGTGTATGTCAGAGTGTGTAGACGCACATGTACGTGATTACAAGTAAGCGAACAGGTAACATCATATGGAGACACAGATACGAAATTATGTAACCGGTAACCACAGTCGTTAAAGTCTTTTTCGTGGCTCAATGCGGCAGGCATGTGACCGTGGTAATTAATATTTCAATATCTACGTTAAGGATCTCACCCGGGACGTCTGTTGTATTTTTCTGATGCCGATTGAGTTAAGAGAAATTCCCCGAGCCAAAATAAGTAGTTGAAAGAAGTTTGTATTTTACCAGAGTGACAGGGATCACATATACATTTGTAGATTTAATTTACCATCCACAAACTTCTAAGGACACAATATTTCCATATTACGAAAGAAATGTTTAACGCTTACACGGTGTCTTTATATATTAGCGTTAAGCTGAAGGTACAGTGTACTTGTTCAACACATTTTCGTCACTTCATTCCTTTGCATTTTTGTAAAGAGGCGGTTGGGCAAAAGGACGTTTATTAGCAACCCTTCGTGGCAAAGTAACATTAATGAACAGTAATGTGATGGCGACAAAGTGACCTATAGTATTCTGTCATCTGATAATAATTCTTCTAGCATGCACCGTGTCTTTGTTTTCCGTATAAAACATAATTTAAAAAAAATATTTTCTGAAAAAAAACCCAGTTAGGTGAAATCAGCCAAGAGAAGATTATCAGTTGTACATGCAATGAAAATCAGGGGATGTTACTGTAGGTTAGGAGCACTAAAAGATCGTTCTCTAGTTAATCCTTACTACAGATGAAATGAGAACTAATTTTGAAATGTTCCCTGATTTTAATACTCCGTGGTAGGTCTGCCTCAAATTGAGAAATGTCTACTTGTACCATGTCTATATTTGTCTGTTATCTGTCTGTCCGGTTGTGGGTCTGCTTGTGAAATGCATACATGTGTGCTATGACGTGAAAGGGGCGTGTACGTGTGTGTATAAAAGGGATGTGATAGGTCCGCGCGGGACTTTATGCCAGTTGGGGTCCAGTGTATACCTACGGGACACTGTTCTATCAGACGACGTGGATTTTCCGACTTTGTTTTACGACGCCTAGTCAAAGGTAAACCATAATGACTGTTTCGAATGTCTTCGAGTAGAACGCGAGACATTTATCTATACAATATAGAATACCTTGTGAATTTATTCATTTACTCATTTACTTGTCCATAACACTTGGCATTGTATCTTACACGGGTTTTTCTCGCTTTTAATATGAAAAAGGCACTGCCTATAAGCGAGCGCACATATTTCAGTAACCTTTGTGATGATAGTGTAGATATCGGGTGCCTGCGGCGCCCCAGCTAAGAACTTGAAGGTAACAAAACGAACAAAATCCCTCCTTAGGACATACGTGCGCTGAATGTTCTTCCATGAAAATGAAATGAATGCTAGTTTTAAAACAAATGTATTTTAATTAAGAAAACCTGTCAAATATTCCATGTAGGCGTTTTTGTTGTTACTAATTTACTATTATTGTAACACCCTGTTCAATATATCGCCTGATCCATTTAGGGCAAAATGACAAAGTGAAAGAAATAGGATTTACTGTGCATAGAAAATATTTATTAACAAGGCAAAGTATTGCAAGGCAATCCATAGACCCCCCATGACCGCAGGTAAGAATTTCAAAATGGTGAAATGATAGCATGTTCTTTAATAATAAATTGTTTGATGTTGAAATATTTTAAAATTTCAATATATGTATATCCTAAGATAAGATTTCTCAAAAAACATTATAGTGTAGGAAATCTTTTAACATAGATGTTGATGAAGTAATAGCCTGGCTAGAAGCTATTACTGTACATACAATAGGACACAGTTGATTTTAGGCTTGCATTGCCATACAATGTGATTTCCTGAAATGCTGACCTCAGACTCTAAAGTTTGGGTCCTCCTTAAAAGCGTCTTCAACCGACAACAAGCGTCTTAATGTGACAACAAGCGACGCCAGACAAAATCTTTAACAATAGCGAATAAAGTAAGTGACATCAGAAGGTGTGTTGTTATCATGACTTTAATACACCTCTATACCAAATTTCAATTATATATTTTAAAAATTGACCGAGTTATGATGAATTGAATTGTACGATCGGCGGCGTGGCACGTGTGTGTACTAACCTGTACAGTAAAGAAAGCAACGCCACACAATATCTTTAAAAAAAAACTTACTTAAGTAAGCGACATAAGAGAACATGTTATTCATAACACTTTTATTGGAATATATTCAAAATTTCAGCTAGATGTTTGAAAAAAGGGAAAAAGTTCTGATGAATTGAGTATGTACGATCGTCGGCGTGGCACACGTATGTGTGAGTAGAGCTCTAGAGATCCGGAAGCGTCTTCAGATATTACCTCTAAAATTAACCTATAAAGTAAACGACATCAGAAGATGTTATTCTACAGGGGCTTGGTTTCAGGAAACTTTCGGTTAGTAGTAATCAACCTATACAAGCCAGTAAATAACAGCAACAATTTTTATCGAATCCGGTGTTTATAGAAAACCTTATAAAAATTTAGGGTATAACAAAAAATCAGTACCCTCATTTTTTATAAGGTTTTAAAATGTGTATAAACACCAGATAAAAAAAGTGTTGCTATTATATACTGGTGTGTATAGGTTCATTATTGACCGAAAGTATCCCGAAACCGAGCCCCTGTGTGTTATTCATATGACTATGATACACCTATTTGTACCAAACTTCAGCTAGATATTTGAAAAACTGACCGAGTTATGATAAATTGAATTCTTATGACCGGTGGCGTGGCACACGTGTGTAAAGAAATCCAATCTGATCGTGAAACTATATCTCTAAAACTAATCTAAAAGGTAATCGACATCAGAAGATATGTTATTCATATGACTATAACACACTTAGTTGGATGCACAAAACTGATACATCAATAGGTTAAAAGCTTTTAAGGGTGCGTCATTTATGAAATACTTAGATTTGCTCAGGACAAATTAATATTTATGTTTTCAGCTTCTGAAAACAAATCTGACGTGTTCACAGCAAATTATACACTTTCATATATCGATGCGTAAGGCTATTATGAATGCAAATAACATATTAAAGCAGTGATCGGCCTTGCAGTTGTTTACAAATCAACAACTCAAATATTTAAACACCTCACAAACGTGATATTAAAAAATCAAAAAATATATCTTGACTGGACTTGATCTCTGAGGAAGTGTTACGTCAATAGTCTAATGTAGGTGTTTGTGACCAGGTATCTCAATGGTATATGATAAGTGTTTGTAAACAGGTATCTCAGTGATCTATAGTGAGAGTTTGTAACCACGTATCTCAGTGGTCTATAGTGAGAGTTTGTAACCAGGGATCGCAGTGGTCTATAGTAAGTTTTTGTGTCAAGGTATCTCAGTGAGCTATATTTTTGTGATCAGGTATCTCAGTTGTCCATAAGTAGTGCGTCTGTTACTGTTCTTGACCAAATACATGTAACTCAGTGAACTATATTTATTGATTGTAACTAGGTATCTCAGTGGTTTTTAGTATAATTAGTGTTTGTGACCAGATATTTCAACGATCTATACATGTGTAAGTAGAGTTTGTGACCAGGTATATCAATGGTCTATAGCTAGTGTTTGTGACCACGTATCTGAATGGATTAGACAAAGGAACTCTTTGTCTGACCGGTTCTCCTTTGCGTTGAAGTGACTAGACTTGCACAGGCCTGGCTTTTGTGAAGCCGACGGTTGTTTCTTGTTGAGTCAAACAAGAAACTTGTCTGTGATGAGGTCAAAACTGGTAAAATTTAATACAAACCCTTATTGATCATTTGATATCGGATATTTCATCTTGCGTTTGGTATTGCAGATTTCTGTTCCGGTCTTTTTCAACCAATCAGAATGTGGCAAATTTTGATACCGCATATATTTTTATTGCGAAACCTGATTCGTCAAAAACTTTAATTTTTAAACCCATTTTAAGGTAGAAACACTTTAAACCATAAATAAATACGTTTGCAAAGTGAACGTAAATAAGATACGATTTGAAACATATTTTGTATTCCCACAGATATGTTTAAAACGGCGATTGTTCAGCTTCTGATATATTAATAACCAATCAAAGCGTCGCATATTTTAAAGTCCGTTCTGCACGATGTTAAGAAAAAAGATCGTATAGTATAGTAGTTTCGTTTTTGTTACTATATATAGCCTTTTGCTTGAACTATATTTATATCATAAATACGATACAAAAAGCGCTTGCTCCGCTCGCTATAAAGTACCGTGCGCCGTCCTAGCCACAATAATTGAAGAGAATAGCACAGAGAGAATTGTGTTATTTATTTCTCCTTCGACATGATATTTATATAAATATGTGTATATTTAGATCATGGCAGAACACCTGAAGTCAACCTTAGAGGCAGGGCTGACATCTAGTCCGAAGTACATCCCTACCTGGTACAATTACGACGAGATCGGATCGGAACTTCACCATAAATATACCACTGGAAACTCTGGTAACAACTATTTCACAAGGAGTCAGCTGTCTATTATTCAAGATAATATACAGGTACATAAAAACAAGCGTCACTAGATTATATCATTCTTTAATCTAGCATCCCTCTGCGTTGGTTGTTTATGGTAATCATATGAGGCTCTTTGCAGAATCGGGGTTTTCCTATCTTCTGTTTTGTTAAGTTTTATTGAAATTTAGAGAAGCAAAAATTGAACTTTTGCCACCTTAAGAACCTTCTAATCGTTTCGGTGGTATATACAGATACCTCTGTTTAGCGGGTTACCTGGTAAACGATAGCAAATTAAATATCATGTATATAACAACGAAATATAAGTGTTGAAATTACGTAGTTTTCTTTAAATGGAAGTTTAAAGTTGTCCTGCTGTTGGTTGGTTCTAAATAGTTTAACGGCCAAAAAACAGCTAATTATTGGGTAATTGATGTACCCCGATTGCTGCAGATAGCGTCTCCATAGGATCTTAACTGTTTCAGGGTCGCAAATATTTAAATTTAGTTGGATTTAATTGGATTTGCCGTTCTTATGTTAACTAAGGCCATTCAAGGGCGTATCCCCGTGTGTGTGTTGTATGCACATGATAGAGGCGAGGCAATAGGTTTGTATATTTGGTCTTGCCCTGCGCTGGTTCAGGAAAAGAAATAGACGTACATGTCGTAAAAGGCGACTATTGTGGGGTGTCTGTTACGGCACGATTTCCCACTCCGACACAATTTCTCACCCATAAATCGTGCTTAAATTGAGTTCCCAACACGATTGTTCACCTCTGCAAGATTTCTCACCCGGGTGCGAATCGTGTTAGGAGTAGGCATATTGCCCGTTGCCATGAGAACGATTTTGGGGAATGATGGTATATTAAGCTCACCTGGCTCGAAGGGCCAAGTGAGCTTATGCCATGGTGCGACGTCCGTCGTCTGTCCGTTCGTCGTCAACTTTTTACTTTAAACATCTTTTTCTGAATAACCAATAGGCCTAGGCCTAGGATAATGATATTCAGAGGAATAACTGACTTACAGTGACCAGCTGTTGTTGGCATGATGACATGCAGATTCTCGTACGATAATGATGATGTCGGAGTCCGTGTTGAAGTATCGTAACGGATCAATTTAGTTGAACCGGATTGCGTTTGAATGTGTTTAAGAAGGTGCGCGCACGTGTATTGTATGAATCGGGCAACAATATTTTTTTCATCGTATAATTTGAATCTTTGAAGATTTTTTAAGACTTCTGTTGCGTATTTCAAAAGTAAATGAATAAATTATAGATCTATAGACTTCCGTGTGATAAGCAATTGGCGGCCTCGTTTCCAGATAAATTAGTGCCATTCATTAATAAATCAGTTTCATATTATAGCTCTAACGCGCAAATGTCTACCGGTTTGTCGCCTCACTGAATCTATGTAAACACAATGCATACGGTATGATTAAAAAATAAGGTTTACTTTATCATAACAAAGAGTAACGGATTTTGTTTTCATCTGATTTGCAGCTAAAGCATTCCAGTGCATAAATAATTTAAAACATATTCACTGGAGTTTAGAAAGTGGTGACCTTCAGCAATGTGACAGACATTACGACAGGTATTACATAATATGATGTAAAATGTGTTTAACTTTCCGCAACACCTATCACAGTCTCAGTAAGTTTTGAACACTGGTTTGTTTATATGTCTCTTCTCGGATTCTGTTGTGGGCTTTTTACTTAGTATCAAGTTACTTTGTTTTATTGTATATCAAATATTTTTACTCACCTGTCGAAGTGTCTGTAATGCTATGCTGTGGTATCGTACGTCAGTAGTCTATCAACTATTTTTATGTACCACCGGTGCCAAGTAGTCTTAATATTTGACTAGCAGATACCTTGAACGGTTGAGGAACACTTGACTTGCTTTTAAGGTAACTGTGGTCTTACATATTAAACGTTTCAAACGACATTATATAACAAAAACACTTGTATATGCTATAAAGACCAGAAGTGCATTTATTTATATGGACAAAACCTTGAAAATTTAGTCCAATAGTCATAGCATAGAAACAAGTAGTCATAAAATGTAATTTTTATATGTTGTATGGGTTTAGATCGACTTTCGGTAAAAAGCAATATCTGATTTAATAATATAAATAGATTGATAGATAAAACAATCAAAAAATATTAGGCATGTTGTACATTGAACTACTACTCATATGAAATCATGTAAGCTCATCTATAACATGTACACTTAGGCATGCTTGAAGACACCATGGACAAAATCCATCCCCAATAGAGGTGAGAAAACGTGTAACCTATGCCCATATGTTTTGCACGATTCCCCGTGCAGGGGTGAGAAATCGTGTTGCGAACGCAGCACTTTCAGCACGATGTCTGACCCGGGTGAGAAATCGTGTCTGGGGGAGAAATCGTGCCGTAACCGGTGTCCCCTACATACTCGCATTTTTTCTTCGGTGTCTGCTTAGGAAGACATAAAAATAAGTGTATATGCCCAATAGCAACACTTGAAATCTATAGTTTGTCTTGCTTGCCTATCTTTTCCTTTTCGTAAATGTATTACAAAACAGCCGTCTCCATTTGACCATAGCTGCTACGTTGAACCCCAAACAAAAGTTGTTTTGAATAACTGATATACTTCGTGTAAGACATTGACAACGTTAAAGAAGTCCAGTGTTTCACAATCTTTCAACCTTTCCTGCATAACCAAGGAGCCTATGATTATAGCATGGTTGGATAAAAGACTATTTTTTTCATTAAATAAGACCTTAACCCAATCTCAAAAACACGTGAATCAAAGGGTTCAGATATTTTAAACAACGTCTGATGAATAAAAATCAGGTTAGGGTGGTGTTTTAAGGTCATAAGCATGCTGTGATAAAATAATCTCTGACTTATTTAGATACCATCTGCAATGCTACCTCTAACCTTAGTATATTATAACATGTAAGACTTCTTTAATGTAAAGGATATAATTCCACGAACTCCACACGGATTGACCATAGTTGACCTCGGAAGCGGAAACTGCACCAAAACCAGGCTTTTTATAGATGAGCTGCTGAGAAGGCAGCAAAAATGTTCGTTTTACCCAGTCGATATTTCGTCAGGTGAGTAAACTACGTTAACTTTCAACAGTGTTTAATTACATAAACCAGTCAATGTGTAATATATAAATATATGTCAGAGCGATCGAAAACAAAACCAGCCCTTTTATAGATCCTTTTTGATGTGTAAACGATAGCCTTGTCCGTTACCAATAAAAAAAATATGCGTACTATTGAACGTCATTTACAGAAATGTCTTAATAAATAGCAAAAAAGTCTGATCAGATCAGATTTAATGCTCGAAATTCGAAACGGTGTGCACATTTTTCACGATGATCTGAGAATATAAATGTACCTTAACCTGCTCAAAATTGGACTCTATACCGTTTCGGGAGCTGCAAACACTTTACTATATTTCCTTACATTAAGACTCGATAAAGCATCAGAAAGTATGTCAGATTTGCATGGGACGGGTGTAAATTGTTCCGACCGGCAGAAGTCTTGAAACCAAATATGTAAATTAAATTAAAAATACTATACATTGTTTAAAGATAGCCAATATATCGTTTACAGGCCATGATCCTGACGAAGATCTTGCTTATACATACTATATAAACATATTGGAACATTCCGTCTACTAAATCCAGTCGGTGTTGTGAGTCTAGCTCCAAGAATAATAGGTATCCATGTGAAATACCTGATTTATAAGTTTGAAGACAACTGCACAGCAAACAGGTTGTTGATTTTTTTTATATTATTCCAGAATTTCTGCTGAAGTCGGTGTCAAAATTAACGAGGGAATACGGCGATGCACTTTCAATAACGCCCATACCTGCAGACTACGAACAAGGAATTGAACATCTGAAGTAAGCAATAGCTTTAAAATGGTAACCATAATTATATATAATTACTTAATATTGATTTACAATTATATTTCATAACTACTTAATACTGATTTAGAATCATCTTTGTGCTAATTTTATTGCGTTTGCATGCACCTACAGACCAGGTAAAGCTTGTAAATGAGAGATGTTGTAACATCATCAGTTCTCTATTGTTTGTCTGTGTGTACTTAGAAATTACCATGGTCTTTGCAGGTTATGAAAAAATTAATACACTCGTACTAACTGTGATTGTTCCTAGGGTCCTGTAACTCCAGCATGGTGACATTATAACATTGAAATGGTTGAATTCAGTGTCCTATAACGCATTCCATAGACAGCTACCCAAGTTTTACCTAGGTCTGTTACCACCCAGGAATACAATCATGCTAGCCCATTCAAGGGGTCATACATGGCCGAGATATACCACATAGTAGTTAGTGAACTATAGTTTGAGGTTGTTTCGAAAAAACAAATACAAGCCCATCTGATGTATCAAAGTAAACATTGACTTTTTTACGAGCCTGGGGCATTGGGCTTGGCAATTTAGGCAAACATGTAGATGTTCATGAACTGAAAACAAAGTACAAAACCTGGTCCGAAGGACCAAGGTGAGCTTATTTCATACCGTGGCGTCCGTCCGTCGTCTGTCCGTCAACAATTGCTTTTAACGACTTCTTCTTAACCATTGATTCGAATTTAACTAAATAAGTTGTCCGTGAGCGATGACCTTTGTGTAACCAACCATTTCCCCATCACGGTTAGGAATATTGGTTTGGTTTTATTGGGTTATTTTTAACTTTCTATTTACAGCTTTGGTCATTAAAGGATTTTCTTCTATGTATGGAGGCGGCATGTAGGTGAATTTGGCTCCATGCGGTAACACGGATCTGATACCTCTCTGAAATCGCCACATATAGTGATTCTCTCGGTCACATTATGCTGAACGGGTAAACTAGTATTTGCGTTTACCCTAAACTCTTGACGTTAAGAAGGACATAACAGCTACCATTTTCCTGGTTTGTCCTGGCCGGATGACAGAACCCACCGTCTTCCTCACATGAGAAACGTTCTGCAATACATTTAAAAAGTGGTGTCGAATAAATAACTGACCGATGGTAATATTTCTATAATATTGTATTAATTAGTAAAATTATCATTCATTTGGTCTTTTACAGGCGAGTGGAAGGTCCCAAACTAATTCTGTTTTTCGCCAGCATAATCAACTTGTCGTATGACGAACAGGTGGATACTCTAAGGATGATATCTACAATGATGACAGGTATACTTGTATATTTCAGATAAGTTTCAAATTACATAGCGTTTAAATTATTCATGAATGATTTGTATGGGACTTTGCGTCTGTGCAAATTCCATACATATGGTATGAAGTTGTTGACGTCGGGCTATATGTCTATAATTCCAGAGCTTGTGTTCTTTCTTCTGAAAATGCAAGGCAAGGGAAATTACAATAATTGAAATAAATATCATATACAAATTTTAAAAGGTTTTTCAAACTTTGATATTTTGAAAGTGAATAAGTTAAGAAATTTATATTGTTATTATAATTATAGCTAGTGAGTAAGTTAGTTATTGAGTTCGTAACGGCGCATCAACACATAAGAGGTCTTCAGAACCAATACAAGGTAGATAACATGTCAAGAAATCGACATTAAACAAACGAACAGATAAAAGACAGCCGTCAACTTGAAAGCAAAATTGGCTATCGTAAGTTACATCCTTTTGAACAGACCAACATTTTGCAAGATAGGTCAGAATCGTTACGATAAGAAATTTGTTGTATTTTGATCAGTTTGTTTTCTCGTGTTGGATGAATGACAATGCAATCTTTCTAATGAGTAATTTAACAAAATTAACGAAGGATTTGACAATATTGCTCTAAACTCTTCCTTTAAATTCTTCACTATGACAATGAACGTCTTCATGTTTTTCCATTACGTTACATGACTTTAAAAGAATCTCCAATATAAAAGTAAAAAGGTTAATGGCGCCGGATGAAAGCCAATTGCATGATTTCCACTTCAACTAAGAAGGGTATTATATGAAGTATTACCTTTAAGCAATGTAAAGTTATGCCTCACACGCAATAATATTCTGCTATTTCTCTTTTCAAGAGGAGTACAGTACCACAGGGCTGAATTATATACGCCTGTTCCATGCAAATCTGATATACTTAAAATGCTTCTGATGCATTATCGTATCTAAATGTATGAAAATATGGCAATGTAAGAAGAACCAACGTTTGTACTGTTATCTCAGTAAAGTTGAAAACTATTCCCGAAACGGAGAAAAACTACTGCACTTTACCAACTTAAGCAGAGGAAATATTGCCTCCCTATGTACATATTGTAAACCATTAAAACAGAATCGATTCCTTTTCATAAGTTTCATTAGAATCTTGTCATTGTTTTAACAAAGTTATTCTGCAGAAACAAATCAGAGCGCTGTATGTATTCCAATAAGCGTGGATTTTGCTCAACTTCTTTGTACGCATTAGTCTTCGTATAATGACCATGCATACCATTCGCTCCAACACCATGATACGTCCCGTCGAAAAATAATGTGTTATATTATCAATCATCATCTATATCCTAATTTATACCACCTACCGAAAGCGTGATGAATTAATTATCATGGTTTGTAAATATGAGAACACTCAAGAGTAAGTTGAGATAGACTTGAGAAAAACTTAAGAACCGATTTTTCTAATTTTCCGGCATTTAGGAACGTATTTTCTCAAATAGGAACGTCTGGTCGCGCCAGGTGAGGTCCTAAACCGGATATAGTAATAACACAAAAGTGATACGCGTAAGAAAATTGTCCCGTCATAAACAGATCAATATAGAGTTACGAAAAACTAGTATGAGGATAACAACACCAATTTAAGCGTTACTGTGCATATTGACAAGCCAATGGCAATCGTGATTGGGTTTTTATAAGAAGAAAAATGCATATTTTTAAGGTTCATGGTATTACTCACAAATTCTCTTTTTCTTTATATTTGCGACAGATCGGGTATTTGAGCCTAGAAGTTAATTGAAAATGTGTTCAGTTGACATTTATAAATGGAAAAATATATAAGGTAGTAGTATATAGATGATAAACAGTGTATCACACAGTTTTTCAGTGATTGTCGTGAGAACAGTGCTCGCTATGAGAAAATTGTTCTCAAGCCAAACCCTGAAACAGTGTGATAAGCTGTAAGTATCAACGCAGTGAAATAAACTGATACCGGAAAAATGTTATAAGGTCACCATGCTGGAGTTACAGGACCCTAGGAACAATCACAGTTAGTACGAGTGTATTAATCTTTTCATAACCTGCAAAGAGCATGGTAATTTCTAAGTACACACAGACAAACAATAAAGAACTGATGATGTTACAACAAGCTTTACCTGGTCTGTAGGTGCATGCAAACGCAATAAAATTAGCACAAAGATGATTCTAAATCAGTATTAGGTAGTAATGAAAGATAACTGTAAATCAATATTAAGTAATTTTGCTCTTCTATCGTTTTTAAGATGAGTGCCGACTAGTATTCAGCGCTGATGCCACACAAGACAGAGACGTCATTCTGAAGGCCTATAACGATGATGCAGGTACCGATTTTTGAACACTTGTTTTTGAAGTATGTTGTCATGTTTATCCCCGCTCAACGGAATGGCCGTCTATCAATCAGTGTACATAAAGACAGGCGGCCTTAAAAGCTCAGATTGAATCATATTTTTTAACTTGACACATGTTGAATAACAAATATTTGCTTAATCAAGAACAAAATGCATAATCGCAATTTTGTATGCTTCTAAGGTAGACACCCCTGCAGGTCGGGCATCGCGAAAATAATAGACCTGCTGTTACCACTGCATGTACTGTAAGAGTCAATTAATGTGGGAACCCCCTGCAGAATTAGGGATTTGCTTTTCTGCCCTTTTCTTGGGGACACAAAACCCAACCCAAAATGAGTATGTTGTACCAATTACAATATATTTTGGATTTTTACATACCCTTCTATTTTTAACTAAATTTTAATTTCCTAGCGCCTCGCTTGGAAAAACCTCACTTGAGTCATTAATTTTGAACGTTCGCCAAGTGAGAAAGGCAACAGGATCTCTCACCCTGCCGGAACATACCAAAGTCCTTCAAATATGGTAGTTAGTCCGGCATCAGATCCGCGCTCTTACAAGGAGGCGAGCACACCAACATAACCTTTCTCCTGCATACACACAAGTAAGTACGCATACACTACACACATGGAGGCACGTCTTGCAATGACCTTAGATGTTAATAGGATGCTAAACAAAATTAAACCAAACTCTTTAGTTTGGTTTGGTTTGGTTTAGTATTGTTTAACGTCCTATCAACAGCTATGGTCATTTAAGGACGGACTCCCCTGCGTGCAAGATGCACGCGTGTAGTGTATGCGTGTGTTTTTTGGGAGGCTGCGATATGTTCGTGTTTGTCTCCTTGTGATAGCGCGATGCCGACTTTATAGTGCTACTTCACTTAAACATACTGCCGAAGACACCCAACAGGACACCCCATAATACTAACAACGGGCAAACCAGTCGTCCCACTCCTAAATTGGTGAGCGTTAAGCAGGAGTAGAAACTACCATTTTTACAGACTCTGGTATATCTCGGCCAGGGGGCAGAAACCAAAGCCTTCATCACAGGGGCGAACGCTCAACTAAAGGCCAAAAATGAGACATTGTCAAGAGAGACATAAGGAAGAAGAAAGTTGATTTGAAAGAACAGATAAGATCCCGAATTTAGTTGCCTCTTACGATCATGGATTAGGGGCAGCAGAAACCAAACCCTGCTTTACGTTCAGCATTAGTGTAATGGCAAAAGCTGATTTATCCGTTGTCAGTATAATGTGACCGGGTGGAATGCTGTGATGGGTGCCTTCGACATAGTATTACACCCGTTGTCAGTATAATGTGACCGGGCGGAATGCTGCGATGGGTGCCTTCGACATAGTATTTCAGTGAGATAGCATTCTAAAGTCGGCATCAGCCCGCGCTATCACAAGGAGGCAAATACACCAACATGCCATGTCTTCTGCGTACACACATGCAAGCACGCGTACATTCATGTACTAATACACAACACACATGAAGACAGGTACTTAAATGACCTGTGATGTTGATTGGACGTTAAACAAAATAAAACAAAACCTTCTTGCAGCTTGTATTTATTGTACTCTTCTTATCAACTGGTGCATGGTATTCAGCACGTTTTAATCGAAAATAAAATACCAAGTGAGCTCTTTGTGTTGGACTGATCTGTTGAACGGGGGTGGGTGGTTCCTCTGCAGCCATCTTTGAATTTTCAGAGCTAACATTTGTTTTCAGTATTTTGATAAGTTATAAACTATAACCTTACTTAGAAATAAATGTAATCAAAAGCTACCACATGATGCATTTACTGTTGACAAAACTGTAGATCTAACAGAAAAAATGGAGGGAAAATACCAAACTTGCAAAGAACTTTTGAAGATCTTATAATTGTGGGCGCCAATATTTCCTGAGTTTATTCTGTAAATTGAGTGTTGGTTTGTTTGGGATTTAACGTAGTCGTAACAGCCAAGATGAAATAAAAAAATGATGCGTATGGAGACACGATCTTAGAAAGGGCAACGGATATGAATACAACATAATTATTACATGTTAAGTGAAACAGATCAATTAGGGTTTCCTTAATATCCATGATGCGAAAGACATCGGAGAAAACCCCCGATTTTGAATGAGGCCCGGACGCTTGCTTCAATATCTTCCGTTAAGGAGACACTGAAGGAACAAATATTGTTCGGTTGTCCACCGTTCTTACTTTGGGATATTTGTATTTTTTCTCTCATTTCCCTACTCGCTCTTTTCGGTAATGTTTCCTTATAATCCGCCTTTATATGACCTTGGCTGTTGAGAGGACTTAAAAACATTAAATAAACAAATCTCTGAATCTGTAGGGCTATTTGTTGTTGATGCAATTATATTAATCAATATAGTTATTGTACAGGACAGGCAAGGACGTTCTTACAAAACGTCATCACACGCCTGAACAGAGAGGAAGGAAGTCAAATAGACATGAACATGTTCGTGCTTGAGGTGGATTTCATATCGGACACATCTTCACAGAATATGAGCTATATTCGCGTCTGCATCCAGGCGAAGGAGTCCGTCATGTACCCAATTCGTAAGTAAAACCGCAGTATTGTGCTATCTCTGGATTACCCGACAGATTCTAAAACGAAAGCATCGGGTTTGCAATAAATACTTATGAATGAAAATGTGAAGAGCAATATTTTATATGAGCATAAAGTTACGCTTTGTATCGCGATATATCTAATATCCGTTATTTTTTCTCATACATATCTTGAGTGTTTCCTAAATAAAATATCTAGGAGGACGATGCAATATTGAACTATTATTTGAAGCTTAACTACTTAAATGTAAAAAATGAACAATTTACATACTTTTATAATCCTAAAGCTGGACTTGGCATCGAACTGACAATGGAAAAAGGAGAACGACTATATTTCCACAAAGGTGCTGGATACAGCTGTAAATATACAAAGGAACAGCTACAAACCATAGTTGAGAAAGCCGGTCTCCATCTGGAGGACACCTGGACAGACGAACATCAACGCGCCATTTTCTGTCGTTGCAAAATCGTAAACGACACTAACGTACTGTCTTAACCATATGATGGTAACGTTTGCACGGACGACTAATTGTTCGATTACAAATGTATTTATTTAGATAGTAGCGTTTTTTTCACCAAAGTGTTACTGTTATGTACGCTCTCTTAATATATATATAACTGCGTTCATCTGTAAATTCAAAATGATATTTTATCAAGACTCACTTTGATGGTTAAATCATCAAAAATTGACAGTAACAACACAAAGTTGTCTCCATTAATTATTACCTGTGGTGTATTTGCTTGCATCAGAGTTCGCATGAATTTTTAGGTCACCTGAGCTTTAGCTCAAGTGACCTATTGCTATCCGTTTTCGTCCGTCGTCGTCCGTCGTCCGTCGTCCGTCGTCCGTTAACATTTTACATTTCAAACTTAAAGTCAAGTTCTGCTGGGCCGATTGAACTGAAAGTTGGTAGGAATGATCGCCTCATGGTCCTGACAAAGTGTTGTTATTTTTCGGGTCGATCAGAAATCCAATATGGCCGCCACGGCCGCCATTTTGAAAACCTATTTCAAACTTAAAGTCAAGTTCTGCTGGACCGATTGAACTGAAAGTTGGTAGGAATGATCGCCTCATGGTCCTGACAAAGTGTTGTTATTTTTCGGGTCGATCAGAAATCCAATATGGCCGCCACGGCCGCCATTTTGAAAACCTATTTCAAACTTAAAGTCAAGTTCTGCTGGACCGATTGAACTGAAAGTTGGTAGGAATGATCGCCTCATGGTCCTGACAAAGTGTTGTTATTTTTCGGGTCGATCAGAAATCCAATATGGCCGCCACGGCCGCCATTTTGAAAACCTATTTCAAACTTAAAGTCAAGTTCTGCTGGACCGATTGAACTGAAAGTTGGTAGGAATGATCGCCTCATGGTCCTGACAAAGTGTTGTTATTTTTCGGGTCAATCAGAAATACAATTTGGCTGCCATGGCCGCTATTTTGCTACTTAATTCTAATAGGCCGATCTCACTTAAAATTGGTCTAGGAATGATCAGCTCATGGTCCTGACAAAGTTAAGTTAACATTATACTATTTTTTACTCAAATTGGTACATATTTCAACAAAAAAAAAAAAATACTGTAGACTCAGGTGACCGTTAAGGCCCATGGGCCTCTTGTTTAAAATTAAAATATGTTCTCTTTGTTAGTCTTTTGTCCCTATAAACTATAACGGAAAGAACACAAAGACATCGATAGAAGCATTCGGTAAAGGACTTGAACCTTCAATACAGTATTATAAATATGACGGAGAGAACAGTAAAGTAAAGAATATTTGTAATCAAGGTCAGAGTTGCAGAAGAAACTTCAAAATCCGTTTCCTAACATCTAAATCCCGTTAACCGCATATTCGGCCCTTGTACCGAAAGTATAGTTTTGATACTATTGTAAAAATCGGACGAAAAGTCTGGACTGACATTCAAATATTAAGATATAATACAACGTTAACAGAAAATGAAAGAATTTCTTAACTCACATACACTCTTCTAGAACAGGATTACGCAGCCAAAATATTTGTTATTAACTTAGTTTTTTAGACGCAATATTTCCTCTCTACTTAAAAACAACATTTTTGTTTCCTAGCGTCTACATAGCGATTCCAATATGAATGCCTCCGTGTTACAGTTGTGGGACCGCACAACGCACCAAACATACCGTGCGCACACCGTGCATACATCGTTCACACAACGTCCGCACATCGTCCACACATGGTGCGCACAACTGTGCGATTTAACAATCGTTCGCCCCGTCGTGCGCTTTTTCTCCGCACAACTGTGCGATTCGGTACAATTTGTTGATCAATATTACGGAATGAAAAAAATACGGAAGCCTGGTATGCAATAAAGTACACTGTATATAAGATTACTGCAATTTCTCATCACAATGATTTAGATTATGTACAATTTTACAATGCGTGTTACACAGTGTTATAGTGACCGTTAGACTGTCAAGAATGGGTTTAGGTGCTAGGTAACAGAACAGGTAAATAACAATTTGATGAGTGACCGGAGTTTTACCTGGCCTGTGCCTGACACATAGAGTTGATATGTGATACCGTACGACCGTTATGAAAACATAACTGGACGTTTAGTATTTGTTATTTGCATTCGTTTTTGGTCTATAACTCCCCTTCACCTAGTTTTCACACCTTGGCGAGTTACGTAAGTGCCCCGGGCGGATGATAACTACGGTCCCGGTACTGGTATAAAGTGGCTATGTTTACCTGTATTGCGGAGACTGTGTTGCAATTTTACATGTGTCGATATAGGTTGTTTAAAAAACACCGAGAGCACCATTTATAAATGTAAGAAAGTATTGACAGGAAGATAAACTTATAGATGTAGCTAGAATATAGAAACATACTAAATAATCAAGTTTATGTGATTAAACACAAGCACGAAACCGTTTATATTGTTAAGGCATTCCTCAATTTACACCAACCACGCACACATCGTTCACACATCGTGCACACATCGTGCGCACACCGCACATCGTGTAACGTAGTGCGATCCCACAACTATAAATGGTTTACCTGTCCGTCAGGTGTCATAATGCGTATATGTGATTCCTAATGCACAAAATCTTCTCCTTCATGTACATGATAATAAATAAACTGCACTAGGTTGGCTTACTATTCCAGCAATGCAGAATATTTCAGAGATATAAATGCAGCATACTCACCAAATGGGAGTTTCAAACAGTGGTTGTGGTCATTCTCTTGACAGCTGTGCCACAAAAACAAACTTGTTCCATGAAATCCATCTTGTTTGACAGGCAAGTATGCTCCTTTTTTCATGCATACGAACCCATGCCCCAAGCAAGAACTTCCAGTGACTAGTAGTGTAGGAGATAAGAGCCCGGACAAACTTTTTCTTTTATGCAGGTCAAACGTCAAAATGTAGGTAAGAGTGACCTACTTTTAAAGCTCGACACACCGCCTTACCAAGGTGAAGTTCCAGTGACAAGAAGTATTTGAGATAGAGCCAGGACAATATAGCGGAAGGACGGAAGGATGGAAGGACAGATGGACACGACGCTAATCTATAGCCCCCCCCCCCCCCCCCCCCCCGCCCCCCGGTTCCCGGTGGAGGACTAATAATGATACGCTAAAAAGGAGTATACAACTTTAAGATTATACAGATATGTTTAATTTATCATACACCAACACAGTCCCGAGTTTCGATCCGTTATAGACACAAAAGCGGTAGGTTTAGTTTTGCTTATTTTGTTTCATATAGTCAATGTTAAAAAAATATCTTAATATGACATGAAAGGATATTCTTTCTATAAATATGCAATGATAGTGGTAACCCTGTTCTCAGAAATCGTGTGGATCGTTTTTCGCCGAGTGATCCGCTACTGTCGTAGCAACTGTAGTTGTTGGTTGTTTAACATTCAGCATTTGGGTTATCGCCACAACGTCTTTACCTTTTGTCAGTATAAGGTGGATACTTTGTTGGGTACATTCCGATTGAGGTTGCACTAACAAGTTTGTTGGTAGGTTATCGGGGTTCAACAGCTAAGGTCAATTGAGAACGTGCCTTGATATGTGGTGGCAGGGTATCCTGGTGTACTTGCCTCCATGTGATAGCACAGATCTGATGCCACCTTATAGTGCTATCTCACTGCAAAGCCATGCCGAAGGCACCGAACACAGCATTCTGCCCGGTCACATTATACTGACAACAGGTGAACCAGTTGTTGCCATTCCCCTTAATGCTGAACGTTAAGCAGGGAATAACAACAGCAGGTATTTATCATCTATATACTTCTTTATACCACCTAAATGTATCATGATGAATTCATTATCATTGGTTGACAGTATGAGAAGCAGTTGTGAACAACTTGAGAAGAACTTGAGAATGGGTGTTCCCATTCCCCAGCACTTGGGAACGTATTTTCTCAAAAAAGAACGTCTGCTCGCGCCAGATGACATACGAAACCGGAAATATTGTCCACACCAAATTGAGCTGCGTAAGAAAATAGTCCGTCATAAACATTTATATCACTACAAAGTTACGGGAATTAATTGTGAGAATAATAACACCATTTCAGTTGTAAATGTGCATATGGAAAAGCCAATGACGATAGGATTGCTTTAAAACTATTTATTCTACGTAGTTTTAGGTTCATTGTATTCGTCTGCGCAAAAATTAAATTTGTTTACGTTTGTCACGGGCGATCATTGACCATTGAGCTTAGAAGTCATTTGCAAAATATGATGTCGGCATATTGGGACCAAACACAATCGAATTGATTATTGGTGAGGTAGCCATTCTAATAACCGGGGCGGTATCGGTTCATTTGTCGAAATCTTACGGATCATTTCAAGAAGCCCTCAAATTCAATGAAATACTCCAAATGCAAGTTATTTTATTAAAGAGTCGGTTGATTGTGATTTCCCTGACGTGGAAACACTAGGACAAGACGAGACAAAAAAGGACGTGCAGCTTCCAATATTGTTATTTCCCCGAGATTGGGGATCAATCATTCCATGTCTTCTTCATGGCAACAAACATGTGTTCAAAGAAGGGGGAATAACTGTTGGGAAGAGTTGAGTGTCCGACAAATACGCTTCTCTTGCCAATCATAATCTTGGATCTCCTTGAAAATAAGACAGAACTAATGAAAAGCGACTATCGTTTAAACACGATCTTCACATGCTAAATAATAAACACGCCTGTCGCTGATGCAAAGCGGAAGCTTTGTAAAATACTTGTGACAAGGTATGCCTTAATAGAGACGGGTATTATGATGGTGAATAAGGTGGATGACAATTGGGTTATTGGTAATATTGGATATCTTTTCGAAGGAGTCCAGGTAAATGTTCATGATAAATAACAAATATTGCCCCGAGAACACTTTGGAGAAATTTGCATGAAAAGAACTCATCTACAAAGCAAGTAGATTTGTACATTTGTCCGTATTTGTCCACTATTTGTCCGTATTTGTCCACTATTTGTACATATTTGTCCACTATTTGTCTTCATTCGTCATATTTTTTTTGTTGCGTTTGCATCGCAACGTAGTATTTGTAAATTTCTTCTCGCACGAGTAAAGGTAAGTAACCGATAAGCTACAATAAAAAAGCAGTTTTTATTACTTCGTAAGGATGACAAAGAGGAAAGTGATTCTATTTGGACAATATATACTTACAGTGTAGCGTGTAATACTGATGGATGGGTGAAAACCGGTGACATTGGTAAGGTAGACATAGAAGGGCATCTCTTCATTAAAGACAGAAAAGAAGACATTATTAAAAGATTCT